ACTTTCAGTTTAACTGATAGCAAAGCTAAGAACCGAGTCCACAAAATTATAATATCGGAAAGAAAAAAGCATCAAAGCAAAGCAAATAAAACTAAAAAAACATATATACCTGCTCAAGTAGCTGTTGCTGCATTGCAAGAACCTTCTTGCTCTTTTCAATGGTTGCTTGAATTACTTGGTCCGGATCGTCACTCCTCTGACCACTGTTAAGATCCGAAGTGGCTGCTCTTGCTCGCAGAGGCGTAGGCCATTTCCCGTTCCTCCCAACCATTTTGTCCACTAAAAACCCCACGCCTTCGGCAGACCTCTGATTCTGCTGCTTAAGTGAAGAACAGACAGTCCGATGATAGGTGTTACTAAGAACGATCATGGAGGTCTCTGTGTAGGCCTCGATGGTGAATGGTAGAGACCCTATAAACACCATTTCTCTTCTCAACGGCAGAAGAAACCCAAGTGAGGGACCGGAAATTGAAGGAGACCCAGATGAGGCTCGCATGTAACAGAAATAGAGAAGATAAAAAAGGAATGAAGAGAGGGCAATTGAAGGAGCAGAAAGATGCAATTGAATTGATGCTGTGGGTCGCGCTCGCAATTGAATCGATGGAATCAGAGATGGGTAATGGGCTGTCAATCTGTGAGCCTGAAATTAACTCACAAATTTGGACAAAAAAAATTCCCCTCCCTTAACCTTAACAATGTGTAACTCTCGAACGGCAATTGGACACGTGTAAATCATGAAACCGCGAGTGCTCTAGTCTTGGCCGCATCCAATTTTTCCCCTTCCTTAACGACGAAGTCATCCGTTTGATTTTCCGTCTTTATTACCTTCAGAGATCTTGAACGAAGTTTCACAAGCTCTCTCCAATGGCGGCTCTGGGACATCTGCCTGAAGAAGTGATGATCGAGATTCTCTCCAGGCTTCCGCCGGAGTCTCTGCTTCGATTCAAGACCGTTCGAAAATCCTGGTATGCTCTAATCAACGACCCTAAATTCGCGACCATACATTTCTCCAATTCTCATCATCAGCAGAAACACATTCTTGTCAAGCATCTTGTTACCAAGAACTCTGGCAAGATGGATTATATCTTCTCCTTCCTCAAATTCCCCCTTCCCTTCAATGGATCTGTGCGATGTCGATTTGCCATCCGATGAGTCTTTTCGATATTCCGAAATCCGTGGCCATTCTCACGGTTTAGTCTGCCTCACCAATCTTCGTAGGGACATTTTCCTATGCAATCCAGCCACCAGAGAGTTTCGAAAACTACCGCCATCGATTCTCCTCCTCACCGAACCCCCGGATGTCTTTGAAGGGATCGATTCCTCCACCAACGCCATCGGATTTGGGTACGATTCGAAATCTATGGATTTCAAGGTGGTTAGGGTGGTGGATTTTATACAACCACCTCTCATTTTTCACTCTACTAGGATTGAAATTTATGATTTGAGCAAAGATAGATGGAGAGAAATTCATACTCCTGTTTGTGGTCGTGCAAAGTGGACGCCTTCCTTTGATAGATATCAGGAAGGAACATTTTATTGGTGGGCGGCTACAGATGAAGATGAAGGGGAAGGGGAAGAAATTATACTGTCATTTGACATGAGTGAGGAGGTTTTCGGGCTAATTCCGATGCCAGAGAGTTTGAAGGGGGAGAGACAAGGGTTCGATTGTTATATTTCATTACCCATGGAAAGGGGATGTGAAAGAGTTTGACATTTGGGAGATGGAGAAGGATGATTTGGTGGGTTTCATGGTCAAAGCTGATTACAATTGGGCCTCTTTTTGGAATTGATAAGCCATTAGCGTTTGTGGGTTCTAATTTACTCTTAATGGAAGCAATGGAAGGGCATGTGGTTTTGTACAATATTCGAGAGCTTCCCATAAAAGGGGCACCCAGAAGTGTTTCAAGCTACTCAAGCTACTACTTTTGTGGAGAGTATGATATCGGTGAAAGGAGGAAATAACTTGAAATATGAAATTTGAATCTAAGTTTTAGTTTGTGCACAGAGTCTATGTACTTTTGAATCCTTACTTTAGATTTTATACAAAATCATCTGCTTCCTTACACAAAACCTCAGTGTGATTTTGGAACTAAACTAATGATCGATGATAATAACAAGATCTAGATCAGTATGACTTTAAGCAATATCGGGTTAAATCAATCTTTTCTTTCCTATTAAAATGGATAGTCTCAGATGTATTATTATACTTAATTCAGGTTGTCTCAAATAGGGGTGGACATGCAACTCACAGTCCGGACCAACTCAACCCCAGTTATAAGGGATGGGTTGGATTAGCATTTCGAGTTGGGTTTATTTTTCTGAACCCGAATTGGTTCGATTCGACTTCGGGTTAATGGGACAATAACTTTGATTTACATTAAGTAGTGGTCGAACCTGTGCATAAGTCCTTAGAGTAAGGACAAAGTATCACTACTCATAAATAAGCTAAAATACTTAATGTATTTTATAAATAAAAAAAATCGGTTAAGGTAAACCCAAAGTCGTTGACTCATTAACCCGAAACCAAACCGAACCAGTTCGAGTTCAGAAGAATGAACTCAACCCACAGTATCACTATTTGCTTTTCTTTAACGAAAGTTGCTGAAATATGAACTCCATGTCTCTTATTAAATTTGGATTAATTTGGATATTATAATTGAAGGGGCAGAAAGATATTATAATTGAGAGGGCAATGAAATGCTGTGAGTCGCTCTCGCAATTGAATTGATGGAATCAGAGATGGGTAATGGGCTGTCAATCTGTGAGCCTGAAATTAACAAACAAATTTGTACCAAAAAATTCCCTTCCCTTAATAACGCGTCAATCATGAACACCAATTACACACGTGTAAATCATGTAGTCTTGTCCTCGCCCAATATTTCCCCTCCCTTAACGACGAAGTCATCCGTTTGATTTTCCGTCTTTATTCCCTTCACAAATCTTGAACAACCTTTCACAACCTCTCTCCCATGGCTGCTCTGGGACATCTGCCTGAAGAAGTGATGATCGAGATTCTCTCCAGGCTTCCGCCGGAGTCTCTGCTTCGATTCAAGACCGTTCGAAAATCCTGGTATGCTCTAATCAACGACCCTAAATTCGCGACCATACATTTCTCCAATTCTCATCATCAGCAGAAACACATTCTTGTCAAGCATCTTGTTACCAAGAACTCTGGCAAGATGGATTATATCTTCTCCTTCCTCAAATTCCCCCTTCCCTTCAATGGATCTGTGCGATGTCGATTTGCCATCCGATGAGTCTTTTCGATATTCCGAAATCCGTGGCCATTCTCACGGTTTAGTCTGCCTCACCAATCTTCGTAGGGACATTTTCCTATGCAATCCAGCCACCAGAGAGTTTCGAAAACTACCGCCATCGATTCTCCTCCTCACCGAACCCCCGGATGTCTTTGAAGGGATCGATTCCTCCACCAACGCCATCGGATTTGGGTACGATTCGAAATCTATGGATTTCAAGGTGGTTAGGGTGGTGGATTTTATACAACCACCTCTCATTTTTCACTCTACTAGGATTGAAATTTATGATTTGAGCAAAGATAGATGGAGAGAAATTCATACTCCTGTTTGTGGTCGTGCAAAGTGGACGCCTTCCTTTGATAGATATCAGGAAGGAACATTTTATTGGTGGGCGGCTACAGATGAAGATGAAGGGGAAGGGGAAGAAATTATACTGTCATTTGACATGAGTGAGGAGGTTTTCGGGCTAATTCCGATGCCAGAGAGTTTGAAGGGGGAGAGACAAGGGTTCGATTGTTATATTTCATTACCCATGGAAAGGGGATGTGAAAGAGTTTGACATTTGGGAGATGGAGAAGGATGATTTGGTGGGTTTCATGGTCAAAGCTGATTACAATTGGGCCTCTTTTTGGAATTGATAAGCCATTAGCGTTTGTGGGTTCTAATTTACTCTTAATGGAAGCAATGGAAGGGCATGTGGTTTTGTACAATATTCGAGAGCTTCCCATAAAAGGGGCACCCAGAAGTGTTTCAAGCTACTCAAGCTACTACTTTTGTGGAGAGTATGATATCGGTGAAAGGAGGAAATAACTTGAAATATGAAATTTGAATCTAAGTTTTAGTTTGTGCACAGAGTCTATGTACTTTTGAATCCTTACTTTAGATTTTATACAAAATCATCTGCTTCCTTACACAAAACCTCAGTGTGATTTTGGAACTAAACTAATGATCGATGATAATAACAAGATCTAGATCAGTATGACTTTAAGCAATATCGGGTTAAATCAATCTTTTCTTTCCTATTAAAATGGATAGTCTCAGATGTATTATTATACTTAATTCAGGTTGTCTCAAATAGGGGTGGACATGCAACTCACAGTCCGGACCAACTCAACCCCAGTTATAAGGGATGGGTTGGATTAGCATTTCGAGTTGGGTTTATTTTTCTGAACCCGAATTGGTTCGATTCGACTTCGGGTTAATGGGACAATAACTTTGATTTACATTAAGTAGTGGTCGAACCTGTGCATAAGTCCTTAGAGTAAGGACAAAGTATCACTACTCATAAATAAGCTAAAATACTTAATGTATTTTATAAATAAAAAAAATCGGTTAAGGTAAACCCAAAGTCGTTGACTCATTAACCCGAAACCAAACCGAACCAGTTCGAGTTCAGAAGAATGAACTCAACCCACAGTATCACTATTTGCTTTTCTTTAACGAAAGTTGCTGAAATATGAACTCCATGTCTCTTATTAAATTTGGATTAATTTGGATATTATAATTGAAGGGGCAGAAAGATATTATAATTGAGAGGGCAATGAAATGCTGTGAGTCGCTCTCGCAATTGAATTGATGGAATCAGAGATGGGTAATGGGCTGTCAATCTGTGAGCCTGAAATTAACAAACAAATTTGTACCAAAAAATTCCCTTCCCTTAATAACGCGTCAATCATGAACACCAATTACACACGTGTAAATCATGTAGTCTTGTCCTCGCCCAATATTTCCCCTCCCTTAACGACGAAGTCATCCGTTTGATTTTCCGTCTTTATTCCCTTCACAAATCTTGAACAACCTTTCACAACCTCTCTCCCATGGCTGCTCTGGGACATCTGCCTGAAGAAGTGATGATCGAGATTCTCTCCAGGCTTCCGCCGGAGTCTCTGCTTCGATTCAAGACCGTTCGAAAATCCTGGTATGCTCTAATCAACGACCCTAAATTCGCGACCATATATTTCTCCAATTCTCCTCATCAGCAGAAACACATTCTTGTCAAGCGTCTTGTTACCAAGAACTCTGGCAAGCAGGAAAATATCTTCTCCTTCCTCAACTTCCCCCTTCCCTTCGATGGATCTGTGCCGGTTTACGATGTCGATTTGCCATCCGATGAGGATCTTCGATATTCCCAAATCTGTGGCCATTCTCACGGTTTACTCTGCCTCACCGATCTTGGTACGGACATTTTCCTCTGCAATCCAGCCACCAGAGAGTTTCAGAAACTACCGCGGTCGATTCTCCTCCTCACCGAACCCCCCACTGAGCCCGACGGGTACGATTCGTCCACGAATGCTGTCGGATTTGGGTACGATTCGAAATCTAAGGATTTCAAGGTGGTTAGGGTTGTGGATTTTATGGAAGGAGTGTGCCATTTTTACCCTTCGAGAGTGGAAATTTATGATTTGAGTAAAGATAGATGGAGAGAAATTGAGACTCCTATTTGTGGATCTGTATTTTGGATGCCTTCCTTTGAGATGTATCATGAAGGAACATATTATTGGTGGGCAAAGACAGGTGAAGGAGAAGAAATTATACAGTCATTTGACATGAGTGAGGAGGTTTTCGGGCGAATTTCGATGCCAGAGAGTTTCAAGCGGGGGGACCGTATGTATAGAAGTATGGGGGTTTTGAATGGATCGATTGTTCTATTTCATTATCCATCGGAAGAGGGTGAAAAAGAGTTCGAGATTTGGGAGATGGAGAAGGATGAATTTGGTGGGGTTTCATGGTCAAAGCTGCTCACAATTGGGCCTCTTTTTGGAATTGGGAAACCGTTGGTGTTTGTGGGTTCTAATGAACTCTTAATGGAATCAATTGAAGGGCAGGTGGTTTTGTACAATACTCGAACCAAACAGTTGAGAGAGCTTCCCATGAAAGGGAACCCAGAAGAGTTTCAAGCTACTCAAGCTACTGTTTTTGTCGAGGGTTTGGTGTCTGTGAAAGGAGGAAATAACCTGAAATATGAAATTTGAATCTAAGTTTTAGTTTTTACACCAGACATGTACTTTTGAATTCATGCTTTAGCTTTTACACAAAATCATCTATTTCTTGTACACTCCTACATCCCTATGTGAGCGTGATTTTAAAACTAATGGTGATTATGATAATAACAAGTTACACCGTTATGGCTTTTAAAATAAGCAATATACCATTTTTTTTTATTGACTGATTGGACGGGTAGTCTCATCTACATTTTTGTACTATGTTATTGATTTTCGAGTAGTCTCAAATAAAGGTGTATATTCAATCCAACAACCCGAACCAACCCAACCCCAATTGTAAGAGTTGAGTTGGGTTGAGTTTATTTTTCTAAACCCGAATTGGTCCAGTTCAATTTCGGGTTAATATGACAAAAACTTCGAGTTGACCAGACCAAATTGAACAAAAATTTATAAAATACATCACAGCTTATTCACGTGGGCCCTGATGTTACTTCATTTCTCATTGTTTCTTTTTATGGTTTTTTTAAAATTTGTTGGATAATATTTTATTATATATTATTTTTAATTTTTTAAAAAACAATTTCTTAATATTTCGTACTATTCCTAAACCCATTATAATAAATAATTATTCATACGCTTTATACTATTTTTAAATACATGGTTATACTATTTTTAAATACATCTCTAATAATTAGTTAAGCAATCATTTTTTTTATTTGAGAATATGGTTTAGATATGTTTATTGATTTTGTTTATTTTTTTCTCTACTATTTTTTCATAGGTTTTCTTTATTGGCTTGGTGAGAAATAAATAATTTTAAATATTTAGGAAAAGTTTCACAAGTATATTTTGATTTTGATTTTGTTGGGTAGGATGTTTACATAATTCTTGAGATGAATAAATAATTAATTTCAATAGATTTTCAAATTAATTTCTAATAGATTTGAAAATCTTGATGGAATGAAAATATAAGAATGAAGTAACTAGAATCCATTAAAAATGATTAGTTAAAAAAAAAAATTATACCTAACAAATTATTATTATTATTATTTTAATTTACAATTTACTTTATTGATTAAGTGGGAAGGTCTTAAATTATTAAAAAATATATATATAATAATGAATAATAAACATATTAAAATTTAGAACAAAATTTTCAAATTTATTAAAACTAATTACTTCAAATTTATTCTCGGTTAATTTATTAATGTGTTGAAAAATAATATACTTATGAAATATTAAGATATTTCTAATGTAATAAAATAATATAAAAGAAACTAAAATTCAACTGCAGTCGAACGGTGCATAAGTAGTACCACTTTGGCGGACCCATAAATACGCTAAAATTCATAATGTATTCTATAATTTTTTTTCGGTTCGGGTCAACCCAAAGTTCTTATCCCGTTAACTCGAAACCAAATCGAACCATTTCAGGTTTAAAAAAATGAACCCAACTCAACCCTAATTTAAATTTTGTTGGCCCAAATTGTCCCGTAGATGTACTGATTTAAACAAGCTTTCACAACCTTAAACAATATTTCTCCAATTCTCTTCCTCTAAAGCAGAAACACATTCTTCTCAAAGTAATATGTTATAATATGTTATAAATGAGAAAGGGAACGAAAACACCCATTTATTTTAATTATAATTATTTCCATATTGCATGGCATAAATTTGAAGAACTCAGAAATTAAAGTTGTTAATGCAATTGGAATCGGTAAGAACGCAGTCGATAAGGGTGACGCCATCCTTGTCAATGCACGTAACAATCTCCGTCAATACGACTTGACCGTTCGATGTGTTTTGACAACGAAGAACAGAATTCTTCCTGAAATGCTCTATGATGACACTTTCCACCCTTTGCTTTGACTTGGAGGCCTTGTTTGGAACTATTCCTTCCTTCGGCGTCAAGAAGGTCAATACTGTGCCTCAAATTTATGGATGTTTGGAAGTAGGCAATACCTGCTCATGAGCAAACCCCATGTTTGTTCCACTCGTGACCCCAAAACTGTGGGTTCTTTCCCTAGATCAGGTCTGGCCAAACTATGTTAAGATCATTTTCTAAATGCAAAAGCTGAAACTCAAACATAATGAACTAGTTATAATTTGCACATCGTAAACTGAACAAAAATAAATGAATGTTTAAGTTTTACTTTTTGTATGAACAAAAGAGGTGTCGTGGCAGTTAGTTACCGAGTTTCTTCCCTCCTGAGGCTACAAGCCATGGATTGTGAAGGAATTTATCCCTCGTCCTACACATTGTCCTCGTAGTAAAGCACACAAATTATACGGCCACTACTGGACAAACCAAAAATGATCAAAAGGTTGCGATTCAGCCATAGGAAGCAAAATGACAAATGCAAACAACAAAAAGACATGGGTTTGGAGTTGTGATTATGACAGTGTTGTGGGAGCTTATGGTGTTACTATGAACCTATGAACCCCTATTTATTGTGAGCTAAGTGTTTCACTTATACAAGCTAGATGAAAATAACACGAAACATAGCTGCTAAAGATGGAATTGCTTCCCATCGAAAGAATCTACAATTTGGAGATGAAAATAACATGAAACATACCTACTAAGGATGGAAATACTTGCAACTGGAAGAATATTCAATTCGGGAATTAACATCCCTCTTCTTCGGTCTTCATTCGTACAATTTTCATATGGGTCACATTAAAAAATACTCTTATTTGCAGGGTTGTTGTGGTACATTCTTTGTATGAAGGAATTGGATACCTAGTCATGAATATAATTTCATAAGACAAACATCCCTCTCCTTTGGTCTTCTTTCGTACCATTTTCATATGGGTCACATTAAAAAATACTCTTATTTGCAGGGTTGTTGTGGTACATTCTTTGTATGAAGGAATTGGATACCGAGTCATGAATTTAATTTCATAAGACAATGCATACAGGGTCGTTGGGGTACATTCTTTGTAGGAAGGAATTGGATACCTAGTCATCAATTTAATTTCAGAAGACAATACATACGCGTTTCAGTAGACATACGTAATCACATTCAACATGTGTCATCTCAAGTTATTCTATGCTCAAATTTTTAGACATGCTTCTTACATCATACTTTTTTGCATATTAAGAGCTTAGTTACATTCAAGGTTATAAGGTGCCAATTACGTAGTACGTGACACTTTTGTTTGGATTTGCGTCTCTATAGACAGAGGGTTCCAAAATTTGCTGAACTCCTCAAATAATTTCTACAGGGTTGAAAAACAAGGAATACCATGAAAACGGTGCCAAAATCGAAGTCAAAACGGGTGAAATACTCCAAATTGGCCCAATTAAATTGGGCCGGGCCAGGCCGATGCCTGGGTAGTGCGCCCTCGTTGGGCCACACGAGTCGCTGGCTCGCATTGGGCCATGCGAGGCGTAGGCCCACGTTGGGCCACCCAGGACGTGAAACCTTCGCCTTCCCCTCTGATTCCATTCCTCTTTCGCTCACCAATGCGTGCTCGCCATCGCCTCTCCCTTTGATTGAAAAGACGGATAGTCTCATATGCATTATTGTGCTATGTCGTTGAATTTCAGGTAGTCTCAAAACTTCAATACGTTGGAGTAATGAGAAATACTAATGATAGCACCAACTTATTTCAATTATAGATAGATAGCAATACATCATGTTCTCTGTCGGACTAACATTATTGTATTGCATGAATACAAAAGCTTAGAAAATGGAGATATTAAGGCAATTAGATTTTGCAAGATTGTAGTTAATAAGGTGACACCATCGTCCTTTTAAACTACTCCTTTGAACTCTTAGATGCTAAGAAGGGCTTTCTACTCTTTACTTTTACTTGGAGGCCAGGTTTGGAACTAGCTTGGTCATGTTTTATGATCAAATCCCATATGTGTTTTACTCTTAGTCAAACTACAGGATCGTTTTCTAAATGCGAAATCTTCTGAAACCCAAGAAAGGAGGTGACATGGTTTGTTAAGATCGTTTTCTAAATACGAAATCTTCTGAAACCCAAGAAAGGAAGCGCCGTGAGTTACAGAGTTTCCTCTCTTCTGAGGCCACAAGTCATAGATTGTGAAACAATTTATCCCTCGTCCTACACATTGTCCTAATTGTACAGTGCAAAAATAGGGGCTACGGTTGGACAAACCCGAGTGGACGTAAGTTTGTGATTTAGCCAAAATCACAAAGGAAAACAGCAGGAAGATTTGTGCGGTTGCCGTTGGAAAGTGTTATGGGAGCTTGATGGGAAGGGTTGCCTATGTACACAGAAATATTTAGGGTAAAATTTAGGGTCGTTACAATTTTCTCTATAATATGCTTTCAAACATTGCCAGTATGCCAATCATTTGCAAGGAAAACTAAATCTCCTTCTCCCTAACATAACCCGGACGTGGCACATGCCAAAGAACCTAAAAAAAGAGGAAACAAAATATTACTTCCAAATAAAATATGATCAGCTTAGCTTAAGTTGTACACAAAAAAGTGAGAATGTTATTAGAAAGTAGCCATTTCCATTTGACAATCCACTTTAAGCTTTCACAAATCCATTTAATAATGCACTTTAGCATGATTATCAATGATCGGAAGGCGTTCATCATTTAGTTCTTGGGTAGGGGTGCCTTCTACCCTAGCCTTTAGGGTGTTTCTGTATTCCCTTTGAATGAAGTTTTCTCGACTTTCTGATTAAAAATATAATAACAACAACAATGGAGTTTAGCCATTGAAAAAGCATTCATAAAAGTGGACTAGCAATCCATTGACAACATCAATGGAAATGGAGGATATAGGTTAGAAGCTTCTTCTTATCTGTAAATTACTTTATCCTTATCAATGGCAGACCTCAGGGTAAAATCACAGCTTCTAGAGGTGTTGGACAAGGCTGTCCTCTCTCTCAGGGTAAAATCACAGCTTCTGGAGGCCTCTGATGATAGGTGTTACTAAGAACGATCATGGAGGTCTCTGTGTAGGCCTCGATGGTGAATGGTAGAGACCTTATAGACGCCATTTCTCTTCAACGGATGTAGTCGGTGTGATTTAAAATCTAGAGATTTCAAAGTGGTTAGGGTTGTGGATTTTGTGGAACCACTCGGCTATTTTCACCCGTGGAAATTTATGATTTGAGCAAGGATAAACGGAGAGAAATTCAGTAGAGGTAACATACACGTACATGATTTTGATATGATCATGACAAATCTTAAAAGAAACTCAAACCCTATTATAATT